AAAAAAAAAGAAGAACTCTGTTAAGCTCGCCGATTTTTTTTCCGCAATCGCTGGGAGCCTGTTTGCCATCTATTACCAAATGCCACTTTTAGCCCAGAGCTTTCCTTACTGGTGGAAAATTTTAAATTAAGTGACACTTGCCGCACCTACTTCCATAATTATGCTGTCAAACACAGGATGGTACTTGTATAATGGCTGGTAACTGAGATTAGGTGAACCAGTCAGAAAACTAGAAATCTGAGGCTTAGAATTACATACATTTATGTACATGTAAATAATGGTACAGTTGTTGAACAAAATTGGTAATACACCAGGCTGACTTTTGGGAACATACATCTCTCTTTAAATTTAGTTGTAAATACCAATTGTGAATTATTCTATACAATTGTATTATACCAACACAGCTTTCCTTTAATAGCGGAAAATTATAAACTAAGCAACACTTGCCACACTTATTTTCCACATACGGTCAAACACAGGTATAATGACTGGCAATCGAGACTATTTGAGCCAATCAGAAAGCTAGAATTGCTTTATCCGAGGCTTAGAATTACTCATGTTAGAAATAAGCCCTTATGTAGTGTAGTACAGTTGTAGAATAAAATAGGTAACACCTCTAGCTAACTGCTGAAAACATACATTGTGCAGTAATTTACAATTGTTATTTACAATGTAATTGAAGATGGCAATTGTAAATTTACTGTATAATTGTATAATGTTCAAGCCATGGAGATGGTGTTCAGTTGTGTTCTTGGACCAGACAGTTTACTCTCACAGTGCCTCTCTTCACTCAGGTGTATAAATGGGTTCTGCCCAATTACTGTAAATGCTGGGGGATAATCTTTCAATGGACTAGCATCCCATCCAGGGGGGAAGTAGAAATACCCCTAGTCACTTCATGCTACTGAAAAATCGACTTAAATTTGTCACTTTGTTCAAGTACATGTAACATACACTGCATTGCTTAGTTTTATTTTGCAATAAACGTGTCTGATACCCATATCCATTCGACAGGTGAATTTTGACAATGTCAAAGTACCCATGGAAAATATACTTGGAAGTAAGTTGCATAAAGGAGTAGTTCTTCTACGAATTAGGTAGAAAAAGTAAACGCTGGTCGATCGATTTTGATTTTGTGGAATGCGTTTGATGTTAAAAGAAAAATCAATCTTACCTCAATACCTATTGATTCTTCACAACTAAACAACATAATCCGCTGACTCTCAAACACAAAATCCTTGCTTGGTTAGCGACTTAAGTATTGATGTTTATTTATCGCAGTTTAATGGCAAATTACAACAATTATTGTAATGGTTAAAAAAGCCATAAGGATGATTTGTAAAAGAGTTACGCGACCCCATAAAAAAGACAAATCACCTCATGTAATATGATTATGATGTGTTTGTTTCGCAGATGTCGGCGATGGTTTTAAGATTGCCATGCACATTCTTAACAACGGAAGATTTGGAATGGCTGCTGCTCTGTCTGGGACCATGAAGGGACTTATCATGAAGGCTGTAAGTAGCTCTTAAACTCAAGGAAACATACGCAAAGCGTTCGTTCATCACGGCATGCATGAAAGCCTTAAAACATTTAACCACTGACTAAAGGCTGAGGTAGAAAAACGTCAAGGGCACAATCAAGGTTAGTTTAATATGGCGGGCGGTGGATTTGGTCACAAACTCACACATGTTCTCTTGAGTCAAGCTGTCATTACAGATACATCATCTATAAGAATACTTTCTGGAGTTGAGTTTGACTTAAAAATGGTCAAGATTGGGTATGATCGTGATTCACTATTCTAAAACAGTCATTCCTCACAAGAACAACAGTTATCAACAACAGCAGCAACAACAACAACAACAACAACAACAACAACAACAACAGCCACAGCAGCAGCAATAAAACAAAGAACTTCTCCCCTCTCTCCCCCCCGCCCCCCCGTTTCCGAGCCAGTGCCAGTTTCATTGGCATGTCTTACACAAGGGGTGAATGAAAATTGAAGGTCAGTGTGAACTTGTAGAATGATTGTCATTTGTTTTGTGCCTATGTCAGGCTGACCATGCTGCTAACAGAGTACAGTTTGGCAGTAAACTGGAGACGTTCGGAGTTATTCAAGAAAAGTTGGCTCGGATGGCAATGTGCCAGTATGTTACTGAGGTAAAAGCTAAAATAGTATTCAAACCATACCGTATATTCTCCATTAACCCCCTCCATCCTCTTTGTAACAAATTCTCCCCCTTGGTACGTTTAAGTGTGACCCTTCCCACATTGAATGTCAGAGTTATGAGTGCATTTTTTTTCTTTTGTTTTTGTTGGTTTGTTTGTTTGTTTTTTGCCCTGTCAATTGGCGTAATGTAGTATTCACAAATTTTTGGGAGATCTTACTGGTACTTGTACTGAAAGGGAATCAAATACATCGCCTTATTTATTTATTTATTTATTTATTTATTTATTTTATTTTTATTATTTTTTTATTTCTTTACAATACTAATCTTACTTACTTTAATAACACTACTGTAGCTACGACAGCAACAATTCTTAAATACTAATGCTACCTACAGTGTTGCTATTACCTTACAAGTTTACAGTAGTGTGAATTTCTTAGTATACCGTAACACGAATTATATAGTACTAATGCTACTTACACTACTAACATAACTTACGATACTAGCATAACATTCATCGCCTTACCACGTGTAGATAGATAGGTGAGAATGATAGCTAACATGGATAGACGTGATAAAAGGTACACGGAATTCATTGATAGTTCCTCATTCTCTGAAGGCTAACCGTTCTTTCTCTTTCCAGTCGATGGCGTATATGCTTAGTGCCAACATGGATCAGGGAGCCACAGATTTTCAGCTTGAAGCGGCCATCAGTAAAATTTATGCATCAGTAAGTTTAACTTGTACTCCAAAAGTACTGGTCAGTTGCTTACGAGTGTCATGCGGTGACGGAAAAATATACAATTATACAGTAAATTTACAATTGCCATTGTCAATTGATTTGAACATGCAATTGTAAATTATTGTAAAATGTATGTTTCCAGAAGTCAGCTAGGCGCCTTCCCTATATTATTGTTGTCATGTGCAGATGAGTGATAGTTAACCATGTATCATTGGATTTNAAAAATGTACGAAAGCAGAGGCTCAAAATTGCTGTGTTCTTTAATTAGATGGAACTTTGAATATTTACGGTCCTTGTTAGTTAGCAAGTTTATTTTGAAGTCATTTTTTGTTTTATTCGTAGAAACTCGCACGATACTGGGAGTCGATCAGTGGTTTTCGTAGTTAATAAGTACTTTTTATTTTTTCGTTATCTTAAGGATGCGGGAAAATTCCTAAGAGCACTTCAGAAGAAGCTAACAAATCCTGCCAATATTGGACTCATTTTGTCAGAGGGAATCAAGAGATCACGCAGGTATTGCCACTTTGGGGTTAAATGTTTTGTTTGTCTTTGTCTTTGTTATTCTGAGTGAGTTTGCAATTACAGTGAAACCTGGGTCCTTGGGAATTGCTTTTTCGTGTATTCGCAAGGTAAAGGTCGTGGCTGCAAAGTGGTATCACTGCTCAATTTGCATTATTCAGGAATGCGAGAGGTAGCTGATATTGCTGTTAAGTGTGCGGTCAAATATTCTTTAGTTCAAAAAGGCATACCACCGACCTATAAAATGCCCTGAGCATGGCAACGATGCTTTCTTTAATCTGAGGAACCGAAGAATCCACTCCCAGGGTGGATTTTTCGGTTCCTTTGACGCACCATGATCCGGGTGATCTTGGATTGATCTGTTTAGTAAAGAAACGCAAAATGCTTTTTTCGGATTCTTTCCAATTTAAGAATCCAATCTTGGATTTTCTTGAAGAAACGCACCCTAAGGATTAAAAACACAGCACTGAAGAAGGGCTAGCCCCAAAACGTCGGTTAAATAATTGATTTTCTTGGCACTATTTCAATTACTATTGTAACTTTTGAACTATTTACACTGTGCCAAGCAGTCACGGATCCATTTTGGACTACTGATATTTATTTTATTTCTGACTAATGCCTCATTATTGCTTGTTTATTTATTTGTTATTTGTTTGTTTTACGATCCAGGGCTGTGGGCATAAAGTCAGGTCCTTCTTTAGCGGAACATGTTCATCCAGATCTGGCATCTTCAGCTAAGCTTGTAAGTAGAGTTGCTACTTGATGTGGGAGGGTACAAGAGAGAGATGCCGGAAGTGAAGGGTGGGTGGGGAGGGGAGCAGTGAGGGATCAAGACACGGATGGATGGTTGTGGGGAGATCGACACAAATGGCGGGAGTGGGAAAGAAAGATAGAGGAGAAGGAGAGGGGAGGCTGAGATTCAGTTTGGGAGGGGGGATGACAGAGGCAAAGTATAAGGGCTGGAAGAGAGGGTAAGGAGATACGAAGCAGAGTAAAAAAGGAGGGTGGGCCTGAAAATGCAAGCAAGACCATATACTCGTACTGGTGTTTAACCCGCCAGAATCCTTGAAATCTGTGTTCTTGGGTAAATGTAACTTGGGTTGCGTTGTTTGATTGTTGTTTAGGCGGCAGAAGCTACAGGCGACTTCGGTGCGACAGTAGAGAAGATACTGATTAGACACGGGAAAGGAATTAGAGGTAACTGCAAGCAAGTATTGTTCGCCGCAAAATTGTTGTAGTTGTTGTTGTTGGTGTTGTTGTTGTTGTTGTTTTTCATGCTAATGGTGCTACATGTACTTTTTTGTTTTGTTTTGTTTGCGAACACTATCACATTGGATTTTGTTGAAAGTCATGTGAACGTTTACTTAGTGTAGATTCATTTAATGTTTCACACTATGTATTACAGACCAGCAGTTCTTACTTAGGAGGCTCGCGGATGCTGCTATTGATATTTATGGCATGGCTGCCGTGCTTTCCAGGTAAAAACAAGTTCAGACCTGTTTTAGTTGAAGTGATGGACTGACCTTCAGACCTTTTCCTTTCTTCTTATTTTTTCTAATTTTCTACATTCAGGGCATCCCGATCTCTCAATACCAACATAGAAAGTGCTCAACACGAAGCAATGATAGCAACCGTCTTCTGCGATGAGGTAAAGTCACCTACTCATGGCATCCTTTCTCTTTCATTCTCTTTCACTACGTTATCTTAATTCTGGTTTGTATTTCTTTTTTTTTTTTAGGCTTTCGACCGAGTAAGACAGAACCTTGGTTCCCTACACGACTCTAACAAGCTCTCCAATGACACTAAGATGTCGAGAATAGCAGCGGAAGTCATCAAGAATATGAACACGGTTCCGCTTCATCCTCTGGGATTCTAAGGGAAAAAAATGGCGGAATTTTATTTTCGTAATTCGTGGCTGATATCTAGAGATCTTTCTTGCAAATAGCTACCAAGAACAAGTTACATCTTGTTAGAAATTGCCAGAAATACGCTTTGGGAAACTGGAAACTATTTCGAACGATGACCACACGTCCAAATGTCTTTATCCTTGTTTTGTTTACTTGTTTCACTTTAACCTGCGCTATAAGATCAACTCCAGGTCCTATGAAAGATAATTTATTGTAAATTGCGATATTTCAGTGCGAATAACATGACGTGTTTAGCAATCCATTTAGAGTAGAGCCAAGGAGATTTTGGACAATCCCGAGACCTGAATGGAAGTCAGAATTTAGCGAGCCGAAATAATGACAGAAATGCTCTGTAGTCAATAGCTCGTTCCACGGCAAGAATTGTACAGAGAAATATCAGAAATGGAAGTAAATATTACCTGATAGTGCAGTGTCTTTTACATATATAACGGTACAACTCAAATGACGTTATTTATCAGGCTGGTCTTGTGTAATTTAACATCCTACAATAAAATTTGTGTCGACTGGAAAGCTAACCCTTTACACGATTTTCTTATATAATACAAGTGTTAAGATGAGAACTGTAATGTCTCGCTTGGTGTGCGTCTATGTATCCTCTAACATGCATTTTACCCAGAAGCAGTTCACGAAGTCCAGCTTCTTAAGGAAAAGAAAAATATGCTCTTCTCGCGGACGATTGGTGATATTGTAAACTGCTCAACAGCACGCCTATTTTGGTACATCAAATTTCAAACCTTGGGTAAATAACAATCATCACACACGAACATTGACCTAGAATACTACAGTCAACCTCCATTAACGGTCACCTCTTATCAACGGCCATGGTCCCGACGGACAGTCCATACATTCACTCTTATTTTTACCTCTCTACAACGGCCACCTTCAAAAAGGCAACAGCCAATAAAACGCGTCCCGACCGATAAAATAGCCTCTCGACAAAAGCCAGTTAACCACTGACTGACGAACGGTGTATACAAAACCCCACTTTTTTCATTGTAAAAGGTGACCAAACTTGATCTGTACCACGCTTCGTTGGTCTCCAGAATAAACATTTTTAAAAGAAAAGTAATGTTGCACCCCCGAAAACACAGCGTCATGTCACACACCTACCTCCCCATAACGGCCCGGCACCTCTCTACAACCACCAATTCCCTGTGTCCCCAAGGGGGCCATAGTGGAGAGGTTCATTTGCATTGTTTTTTCCCTCGACCATTTTACCCCGTTTTTCAGGGCCGAAGTTTGGTGCCAAAATTGAGATTATCTAACAGTGAAGCTAACGACAAGGGTTTCATTAAGAGAGAAGTTACTTAGTTCGTTGGAACTTGAAAGCAAAGGTATACTGTTATAGAGGCGTCGATTTTTGCCGTCTTCGCCAAGTAACATTAAATTTTAAGCGCCTTTTATTTTTGGAGGTGATGTTTATCAACATGGGGAAACAAACTAGGCCCCTTAGGCCCTGACAGTGCTGTTTCAAGTGTTCACTAGATTAACGGATAACAATGCCCAAATCTGGAAGGCTGACAGGGCCAGAGCCAATCAGAATCTCCGTACAACAAGCATTTTATGTAGAGAATAGAAGTACACCCCGGCCATTTACAGACCGAACTCGAGTTGGAAAGTAGACCACTCTCTGAGAAAGAATTATTGAAAAATGCTTTCCAGTGCTTTATATGTGGCTTTCGTCTTTTGTGGGATACTGTTTATGGCGGAAGCGCTAGCATATCCTGGAAAACGCTACGGTAAGGAAACATCCTTTCTAGAATGTATATCCATGCAGAAAAATACTACAAAGCACTCGATCTTCGCCCGTGTTGTCGCAATCAACTATTTGCTGATTCAATTAAAGAAATTTAGAGGAATCTGCAATAAATTTGGGAAACAGGGTCGTTTACAAGTTACTTAAGCTGTAGGCTAACAATAGGTGAATTGTTTACTGGCTTGAGTATATTTGTCCTAAGATGTGAAANTTTAGAACTTTTATTTAACTTTTCTTGATAATCTCTATGATCATAACAACTGATCATGAACTATGTAATTTAGCGGGCACAGCCAATTAGCCAGAAATTAATATTTGGCGGCAAGATAAAGAGGCTCGCGTCATTAGATAAGTTACGAACTATATATCAAGAAGTTTGGTGGGAGATTTCAGTCTGACTCAGTGTTGGTCATACCTTTGCGTTCACTTTGTGTTCTGGCGTATCGCAGGTTATAAAATTAATATTTTAGAACAAATAGTTGCAATTTGCAAGGATACGAATTATGTTACTAAGAAGTATTTTGTTTTACTAGTCAACCCATCCTCAACAAACTTGTTGTTAGTATAATCAATATAGGTTAATTTTTCCAAGTTCTGCTAAGGGAAACCAGACTTTTTACTTCTAAAATTTAGTTGGCTAAAGTACATTTTCTTTTCTTTGATAGTGTCCTGTGGTGCCAGCTACTTAAAACTCGGTTGCTACAACGATAAACATGCAAGAGGCCATCGTCCACTGTCGAATCTGCTTTTCACTGACCGCGATCCTAAATCGTACAAATTTAGCGGCAAACGAATTGATTGGGAGAATCTGGACTCGTACATGAAGGATGTTGTGTGCCGTTGTGCCGAACAAGCGAAGGCTCAGGGCTACATGTTTTTTGGACTGCAGTTTTACGGTATGGTTGTGAAGTAAACCTACAAGATCATAAACAGTGAGTTCAGCTAGATCCAGCTCAGAGTTTTTAGTAAAATCGCCAGGTTCTCTAAGATGGTACGTTAAATATGCATGCGTGCATCCCAGAAGACAATATTGCGAATTTGATATGGAACTGAAATAGAACTGGAAAAGAACCGCTGAGACCCATAGTTAGACAAAAACTTTACACCACTCTGCTGCCTACTTTCTGCCACCCACATAAAGCGGCCGGTATATGGATAGGCTTTCCAATTATTCACTGTTCTTTTTATTTAATTTCAGGGGAATGCTGGGCTTCGGAAGAATTCACTTTCAACATCGACGGCTTGGGGGAGGGTTGTATGTCTTCCGACTACGAACCATGCACAGTTTCATCCAGTTTGTGTGTTGGCGAGGGATTTAGCCTCTTCGTGTACAATGTTCGGCAGTGATGAATACAGGCAGCGGCCGGAAAGTTGATATTGAACACAGTAGCGTTAGGGTCTCTTTATCATACTGACATATTTTAGCACTGTTAGGTACCTGAAGACTGCACGAAATAAATTTATTTTCTTGCAATGATTTCTGTAGTATGAACTTTGTTAATAGCTCGGTCAGAGGCGTGGAGCAGCGGGTAGGGGAATCTGAGAGCGGGAACTGACACAGTATTTCTTTTTGCGCGGAGAAAAACATTGAAACCGTTTTCCTTTTTCTCCTTTAACCTTTCCCTCCCCCACTCCCTCCATCCCAGGCTCTCGTGGGCCGCGGCACGAGCAAGGAGAAGCCACGAGAGACGAGTCGGCGACGGAAGATAGCCCGTGAGGAGCTTGACACGAGAAATGAGAGCCTGCACGGAAAGCATTATTTTTCGAGTACAGCGCGTTCGCCCATGAACGCAGCATTCTGATTGGTTAAAAATGACGGGTCCCATGACGACAAAAATCAACGTTGACGGCTATCAAACGTAAACATCGCGTCCGGGAATCGATATTATTTCAGAGAGTTTAAGAAAACCACAACGGCTGTAAATCCTTCCTTCCTTCCTATCCGTACGCGAGATGACATGAGCGCATTTCTTATTAATTCCGATCCGTTGGAGTGTTTCCCCAAGCGTCATAGTGTAACTTGGTGTAACTATATAATAAGAAAAACAAAATCACACAAGGACTACAATACACTGAAAGCTTTCATGAAAGCAATGATCCTTTAATTTTACTTTCCAAATCGACTGGCTACAACACTGTACGCGTAAATGGTGTATTTCTCTCCAACACATACTTTGGAGTTCAAGGCACAATCCTCCGCGTCGTAAGTCAAACACTGATCACTTAAACCATTCACATTCACCAGAAATTCTCCTTTTGCGGCCCAGCATTCGCCTATTAAGGAAGAGAACAAAAAAATTTTTTTGTCAAATAATTTTGAACCGCGCATAGACTAGATGACAGTTAGCGAGTTGACAACCGCTCACACTCCAAGGTTCTAAGGCATGGGCGCGTTGGTCAGCCACGCCTAAGATATGACGGTTTTAATTGACAACATAAGATTCGAGCAAAGTGGATAAAAGGTACATCTAAACACATCCTACGTGCGTCAAAGAGGGGCACATCGACCCCAAAAGCTTCTAATATGGAAAAATAGGAACTATGACCCCCGACCAAACGCAGTGGCGCTACCTTTGGGTTTAAAGTTTATTATACTAACAACAGAATGAAAGATAAATTAGATAGCACTATTTACATAACAAGAACAAAATATAAACCTTATCCGAAGTTGCGAGAGGCAAGCCTGACCGTAAAATGTCACAAGTTTCTCAACTGTCTCTTTTTACAAGCGTACCAACCATGAGCCTTAGCATACTACGCTCTCACCCGGTTCTCTGTCCCGTGTCGGCAAAGTATTTATTTATATTTAAACCAATTGTCACAAATTGTGGGGGTTTTTTTTAATCCTTTAGGGACATTTTGCAGCATCTTTTGTCAATATGCATATGACAACGTTAACTCTTTACATCGTCAATAGTTGATCCAGGAAACAAAGCCATCATTGTCTGCGATATTGTTCAGGTAAACTTCACCCGTGATAGCAGATGTGAAAGAATTAACCACTCGCAATGGACTACGGCTCTGTCGCTGTCGGTTTTTTTCGTCGCGGTTTATTCACGGTTAGGCTCGAGGGACGAAAGAGGGACGACATTGTACTTGATGTCTAACTCACAACACCGCTCTGGATTTCTAAGCGCACCAGACCAATTGATTGGAATTAATTTTGGCCGTCTGCTCCGCGAGAAACAAATTAAAATCATCGACAAAATTCATAGGCGTAGCGTGCGAGATCTCGGTAACTTACCACAATTTTGCACCCCGAAGAAGTTGTACTTCTCTTTCTTTGCCGCCTCAGCACAGCGGCAAACAAATTCATACATGTTGTCGTTCCAGGCTTTCATCAGTGTCTCGTTATTCAGTATCACCTTGAGGTCTCTCAGCTTCAGACATTCTGACTCTTTGGGCGACAATCGATCAGGTAGGGGTCGTTGCCTCATGTGAAAGTCGTTGTAGCAGCCAATGTTACGGTAACGGACATTGCACATATTGTCCAGATCTGGTTCTGGAAGTTATAAGCGTTTATTTAGCCGCTAATTGAGTTAAAATTATGACTGAGGCATGCAAAAATTCTCATCCAAGGTATTCAGGGCGTTTATGATGGCGTTCAAATGTTCAAATGTTGTTGTTTATAGTGGTCAATGCGCTTAGCTACACCTAGCTAGTTCACAGGCATGCCACTTTAAATGAAGGAAACAAATA